CTGAGAAACAGAGGATGACGTAAGAAGAATGAACAAAAATTGAACAGAACTGGAAAGGAAAGTCCAGGACAGGGTAGGCTGGAGAAAACTGGTTGGAGGCCTATGCTCCATTAAAGGGTAACAGGCGTAAGTAAGTATTTAGCAGTTTAGACGAAAATCGGACTCAGTTCGAAAGGCAGCATGGCTTCGGAGTAGGCTGTCCATGCCTCACAAACCAATTATTATTCTCCGCTGACTTAAGAAAGGCATTAGCATAGTCCCTCACAGAAGTCTCGTACCCGCGTTGGGTGAAATCGGGATTTTATGATTCATCATTGGACATCAAAAAGTGTGCTAGTTAATTTCGAGGCTTCCCACAGAAAAACTGACCGGTAGAGTCCTCAGGGTATAGTTTGAGGATCAGTGTTTTCACTGCTGCTACTCAACTTTTTAGTCTCCTATCTTCGTCCATTTTGTTGTATACGAACGACATCATTATATGGAGAGCAATAAAAAGCCAAGAGGATTGTGCGAAGATTCGAAACGAACCGCAAAAATTATCTGAATGGTCTAGAATTCAACAGTTGCAGAAAAATGCTTCTAAGTGCATCTTCATGCATATTAATAATAATAATAATAATAATAATAATAATAATGATTTATTCTCGGATAACAAACATGTTACAAGAGACATGCCAATTTATAGGCTAGATCAAAATGTTAAAATTAGCAACATATTTTTTTCTGAAAATGCTGTAATGTTACTGAAACATTTCATAAGATTCATTGTTTTCTTAAAGTTGGAATGTACAAAGCGATCAATTGGCGCAAGTTACGAAGTTTGCGTTACGACAATCATCTTATGGGCTGAGAAATGATTCATGGTACAGACAGGTTTTCATATAACAAGAATTAATAATAATAATAATAATAATTTATTCTCAAATAACAAACATGTTACAAGAGACATGCCAATTTACAGGCAAGATCAAAATGTTAAGATTAACAACATATTTCTTTTAAAACGGTATACATTTACTGAAACATTTCACAAGATTCATTGATATTAAAGATGGAATGTTCAATACGAATAATTGGCGCAAGTTACGAAGGTTGCGTTACGACAATCATCTTATGGACTGAGAAACGATTCATGGTAGAGATAGGTTTGCATATAACTAGAATTGATGCGGTAAATGTACAAAGGTCTGGTTGATATTCATCAGCTAATGATTTTACATGTTCTTGGGTAGGGTAACCAAGTCTACTGCAAATATCCAGACTAATATATGAGGAGTGGAATAAGGTTCTGAAAAAAGAGGAATAAAGAAGACGGGACGAGGAGCGGAACAGAAAATACGTTTATAGATAAAACAAAGGTATGTTTACTCAGACTTTTTTAATATCATAACACTTTACACCTGCATTTATGTAGGTTAATGAAGACAAATTATTGGTGAGATAACTATTGGGAAGTTAGTCGAAAGAATAGAGGAAATTCAGAAGTACCAAGTTGTTAGTAATAATGTTGATTTACAAAATATAATAAAGAGGCTCAGTGATATAATTTTTTGTTTTATATATTCTTTTATTTTTAACTCTGCAGCTCAAGAAATTATGAATGAGCTCTTTTTTAGTATAGTTATCCAGACCAGCTTGTAATAGGATTTCTCGGTAGGAAGTAAAAACCAGCGCAAGGTTACAGACATGGGTTGTAGACGAGGTTAACTAGGAAAAGTAACATCAATATCACTGATTTGTTACATCCTGCTATATGGTAAGGAGCCGTAAGCAAACAAAATGTTCTGCCACACAGACATGGGTAGATTGAGGTTATCGCCCCACCGTCATGAATGCTGGTCAGATACACCACCCTCCCTCCTTTTGTGATGTTAGGCTCTCTTACGTTTAATGGTTAATTGTAAATAATGGTCTCTAGTCTACTCTCAATTTTTTTTTTGTACACCTTATCG